GTCGCGTCCTTCACCCTCCTCCTCCCTCCTTCCAAGGTATCCCCCCCTTTCATGGGGTTGGGGTTAGGGGGATGCCTTAGGTTGGGGTTGGGGTACCTTTTTCTGTACCCTGTTTTCTGCAGTCTATTTTAGTGGGGGAACCCTCCCAACCAAAAAAGGGGGTGAGAAAGGGCACCTAGCTGGGGGACCTAGACCACTTTAAAGCCACGGCTGAACCCATTGCTTGTTGGTGTTTGAAGGAGAATCGAAAATCATCTCCAGGTTTCTCAGGCTGGGGTTGGGGGAATGCCTTAGGTTGGGGTTAGGGGTTAGGGGTTAGGTAGAGCCCTCCTTAGGGTCTTGGGGTGATTCGGGGTCTGCGCTCAAGTTTTTGCTTCGAGAGGCAGCTTCTCGCCCGGCTTCTCTGCACCTGCTCGGGTAGGCTGGACCAGTCGAAGGTTGCAATTAGGACCCCAGCAAAAAAGCCTGGTTAGTGAAAAAGAAAGGGGAACCCCCCCCCAAAAAAAAGGGAAGTAATTCTGGGGAAGTTGTGCCGCCGCATGGTTTTTACTTGGTTGACGTTGGCAGGGGAGCAAAATTTGGATTTTAGTAGTTAAGTGGGGATTTCAACCACTAAACCACATTAGGCAAAAATGCAAAATGTTTCCCAACAACAACCATGTTTAGGGTACCCATGTTGTGGTTGGTTTGAGTAGGGAACCAATTGAATTGGAAGCCCCCCCTTGGTTTTGTGTCGGACACATGTTGAGACTTTTTTCCGGCCCCGGGCTGCGAAATCTTGGGGTTGGTGGGGTAGGGAACCAACCACTAAAATATACTAAAATGGTCCAGACCCAAAAAGTTTAAAGTTCATGAACTCGGGAAGTGAGCTTCTTTACCCGTCAATTGTTTGAGCAGCTCGTGGTTTGTTTTGGGGGCACAGCCATCTGACAAGACGAAGCTGGGAGTGCAAGAACGTCCAGCCTGATAGAGACCCGTCCAGCATGCAGCCGAGCCTGGGTGCGGATGCGGATGTGTGCCGGGGGGGGGGGTTCGCTTCCAGATCCTAAGCCCGTCAAGGGACATGAGACGTGATCAAGACGTCAGGTTGTTCCATATGTATATATATATAGGAGTATGGCTCAAAGTGAAAGAGCTAGGGTTACTCTGGTTTGTGTATTTGTCTCCTTTTTTGGAAGACGCCACTTCGACACCAGTGTTTTTTTTACCAGCCAGTTCCAATTCCCTCGGGAAATTCATCAGTGAGCCCATTGAAGCGCCGGGGGAGAATATAACTTGCCGAGACATATTGTGGACGGCTGCGAAATCCGCTTCTCGCACCACTAGGTCCTCCAGTAGAGAGGTTAGAATAAGGGTACCCGATTTGTTTTCTGTAGTCTATTTCAGTAGCCCTCCCAACCAAAAAAGGGGTGAGAAAGGGCACCTAGCTGGGGGACCTAGACCACTTTGAAGCCATGGTTGAACCCATTGCTTCTTGGTATTTGAAGGAGAATCAAAAATCATCTCCAGGTTTCTGAACGGTGCTGCGTTGGATGGATTTCGTGGACCCATCGGGATGTGCACCTCCCTCGAGAGGGATGTGGAACGGAACTCTTTTCAGGAAGCCAACAGCCTGGAGCCCCTGAGACACACCAGAAAGCCTTGGCCCGAACCAACTAGGGGTTACGAAACAATGTGTTGTCAACGACTAGGGTCCATGGCTTGCATTGAAGTGTAACATAAGTTTGGAGTACACCAGAACTGTGCTTGATTGCCTGTTCCACTTTTGCTGCTGTGTTAAAAGCTGTGACTTCTCACAGACAGGCTCTTGGTGCAAAAGTCAAGTTGCTAGGCCGAAACAACTACAACCTACAGAGCTCATTTTCCTGGCGTGAAGGCCGACCAAACCCCCAATGACCAATGTGAGTGGCAAGAAAATAAAGCTCGGCTTGAGCACATCGCGCAAAGCTTTGGGAGGTACTTCCAGCGTTTTAGTGACGCCATGTAGGTATTGGTTTGTATCAAACGAACCTAAACATGTAGGCCAATGTCACAAGAGGTCACAAAAGAAGGGGTGACAACCCAAGGTGAATCCTGGTTGCACAGAATGGCTGTGCAAAGAAACGCCATTAAAAATGATACCGTAGCTTGTTGAGCTTGGGGAGCTAGGGGAGCAAAGGAATGCAACAAAAACGAAGGCGATTTATCAGTGACAGGCCCAGTGTTGACCGTTCTGACAGGTGAAATCAACCAGGAATCGCCATCACTTCTCTACCAAACCAAAAAGGACAGTCTGGCTGTGATAAGTACCCTTGATTTGAACAAGGGTGCACTTTGAACGTCTATATCTGTGTCACTCCTGGCACCTGGTTTGTCCATGACTTTGCGAGAGGGTCTGGCACCAAGGAGAATTCATCTTGCTCAACAATGCTTTTCAAGGCCACGATAGCTGCCGGTCGCTTCAAAGGCTTCATCTTTGTTTCATAAGTTTTCTCAAACGGCTTGTCCTCCTTGACAGTGCTATGGCTGCCCTAAGAACACGAGCGTTTTGTTGGCTCAGACTACGAGGAAACCAACCGCTTGCTGGATGCGTCTGGTGAAGCAACGAGGCGATCGGTCAGCTGAGCACAGGGTAAAACTGTGGATGGCTACCCAATGCATTTCGCACCATTTGGTTGGCTTCTCTCAGTTTTCAAAACGTTCATCTATCCCAATAGGTGCAGGATTTCGCAAAGATCGGGATCAAGTTGTTTGTTGGTTGAGTCTATGACTCAACCAACCGAGCCAAACAGAGCAAACAAAACAAGCAACTATGTTAAAAACGTGAAAAGGGACAAACCACAAATACACCAACCAACCACTGCAAACGCACGAAACCACCGTTTCTATTGGTCGAGTTTGACGCTAAGCCGACCGAAACAAAAACACAAAAGAAACAACCTGATTTGTAGGTCGAGAGAAGCAACCCTTTTTGTTGATTGTGGCGTTGTTCTGCGGAAAACCCACCCGACCCAAACAAAAAAGACAGACAACAAAAGCCTGCATGCTTGTTGCTTGAGTTGAAAGGAATGGCATGCCAAACGGGGGCCCACAGGCCATGTATATGCATATTTATGTGTATATATATATATGTATATCTCACTTGCTGAGTGGATGGCCCAAAAAAAGTTCAAGCTTTACATTTACCACTAAAATGGTCCAGACCCAAAAAGTTTAAAGTTCATGAACTCAGGAAGTGAGATATATGTATATAAATGTATATGCTCTCCTTTGCCCTGAGGCCAACTGTTCTCCCCCCCACCCCCAACCCGGCGTCCCCCAAGCCACAGGGACACCCCAAACCAACCACTGCCCCACCCACCGAAACCCCCGGACCATTGGGAAGGGGGAGGTGGGGTTGTCGACGCTGGACCATATATATATATATAACATGTAGATTTAATCCGTGTATATTACAAATTATATATATATATACATATACATATATAGATGTATACATATATATGTGCATATAGTTGTATATATATGTATGCATGTAACATATTACATATTATACATATATATATATATATATTACTACATATTACATAAATATATATATATATATACTATGTATATATATATATATATATATGCATATATGTACATGTTTTTTTGGGTCGAGTTCAACGGGTTTCACCCCAACCCAACGGTTCGATTCTCAACCGTGCGGCAGCTGCTCGATGGACCGCAGTTGTGCGTCCTGCTCCTGGCTCGTCTTTAGGAATGCGGGCCCCCCAAAAGGGATGGTGGTGTCTCCTTTTTTTTTAAACAACAACAAGTACTCTCAAAAAAGAGGTTTTCCTTTAATAAATACATATATATATATATATTCAAAAAAGTGGTTTTCCTTTAATATTAGTGTGTATATATATATAATGCGTTGGGGAAACCCTTCGTTTTCGTCGAGCCCCTGCCAAACAAGCTGCCTCGTGCGCATCGGCATGGGGCCTTCAGGCTGGGAATCGGACAAACATCCGTGAGTCACCGTTGGAGGTTGTGTCACTCCGACTTTTTGAAACAATCGGAACCCCCAAAATGCGTGGCTTCCCTGTCTTTAAATCAATCCAAAAAGGGGTTTTTATCTTGAGAGAACCGAGTCTGCCTGAAGGCCGACTCGCGCACAGTCGGTGTAGCCGCAATGTTGTGGCTGCAAAAATAACCATTTCACACCGGTTTGCAGTTGTCTCAGCCAGCTTTCAAATTGGGCTTCATCAATCTGGTGAAGGGGATTTCGTCCACAATAAGGAACCCAAAGGTAATTTGGTATCCCAGGAGAACAACCAAAAAGGCATATGCCAACAACCGGTGAAATAGGCGAATGCCCTCTTGGTATTGACTGGGTCTACGCAAAACCCATGCAGAATCAACAGGGACTTCGTCTACAAACCTTCTACCCCTTGAGGCTCTGGACAAATCACCAAAACCTTCGGCCCAGGTGGTTTCCTGAAGCCAGGAGCCTCTCTGAACTTCAACCACTGAGCTCGACCCCGAGAGCTCGGAACTCTCTTTGCTCCAAAGCCGGCTATTGCAAGCTCGAGGACTCGAGGGCGATTCTTGGTTGACGTTGGGTTAGGGGAGCATTTGCTTTTTGTTTAAAAGAAAAAAACATTTAAGTGGATTTGGAGTTCAACCACTAAACCACAATGAGCAAAAATGTAAACTGGTTCCCAACAACAACCGAGTATTGCTTCTTTCTCAAGGGGATTGTCCTGGTTGGAAAAACAAGAGGACTAGGGCCTCCGGCAACTGGGAGTTGGTTTTGTCTCAAAAGAAGGGCCCTCAACATGGCTGGCTTCATTTTGGTGGCCATCTAAAACCCACCAAAGGGCTGCCCCCAAGAAAATGATTTATCTATTTGGAGAAACTGTGTCTACTGTGCTTTTTTTTTCCTCAGAGCCCTGAAAATATAATCCCTCAGGCTTGTCTAAGAAGCTCAAGATTGCTTTACGTTGCACTTGGCATAAGAGAATTAGTACACACATTTCCGTATTTCGCCCCTGCAAAACTCCAAAAATGGTTGAGAATTTGAGTTGAATAAAACCTCATCCATTCATATCCCCATTACCTATAGCCTTAAGGCTAGGGGGTGTGGAAGGTTTCTTACCGCGAGACTCCTTGAAGCGACTCTCCACGAGGCCTCAGCTGAAACACGGATCCAGGGAGCTCACGGCTCACGTGTTTTTCGCTTTCTCTGGGAAGATGGGCCAAAGACACTCTTAAAAATCGATCCGCCAGAGGTCATCTGTACATAGGCACTAAGTCCGGACAAAGTGATACTGAAAGTATGCTTTGGGCAATCTGTACGATGGGGGCAAAAATAGACGGGTTCCACTGGTGTTTTTGCTGGGGGTTCTTCCATTGACCAGGCAAAGCCATCTATGATTGACCAGCAAGTCCTCGTTGGGCCTCAACAGCCTTAATCCGTTTTTCCATACTCCCCAGTCCCTTGCGACACCCAAGGTGAGGATTAAGGATTACCTTTGAACAGCGTACTATCATAGGTGGCCTTTTGGCTAAACATAGATGGGTTTCCCTGGTCAACGGAATAACTCCCAGCAAAAACAACGGTGGAACCCTTCGATGTTTAACCAAACAAACCGATCAAAAGGACAACTACGTACCCAAAGGCTCCCGATTGATTTGGGGCCTTCAAAAAACCTGGTTTTGAGACCCCCAACCACCTCTGGGGTGTCTAATGGAGTCCATTGAAAGCCCAGAACCCTCCGGGTGTGCTATATTCACTTTATCTCCGCTTGGTGATTTGGAGCCCGGAGCCGAATCGATGGTTCGGTGGTGCTCCGGGGATTCAAATCCCCAAACCAGTCCAAACCACCAACAAAGGGTTACCTGAAATATGAGTGTGTCTTTTCTTGCCGGTACAACAGAAACACCTCCACAATAGCAAGCTAAGAAGCTAACATTGTCGCTGCAAAAAGCCGAACTGCTTGCTTGCTAGAAGGGAAACACTGATTGTTCCCAGCAAGTTGCTGGTCTAGGGCGCAACCAAACATAACCTTGAACCTAGCTGGGGTCCACACGTTTGATCAAAAAAACACCTAAGGGCGCCTTCACCAGAGGTGTCCAATCGGTCAATCAAATTCCGAGGCCATTCGCCCAAACGACAAGTTGAGTGCGAGATTGAGCTTGGGTTGTTTGGGCTAGGGAGAGGTTGTAAGTTGTTGAGTTTAAGAAAATGTGCTTTTTGAGTTTGGAGTTCCACGGTTGTCCAAACGTGTTCCTCCATTTGGTTAAGGCCCCAGAAAAACAAGAAGAAACTATTTCACGTACGTAGTGATAGATTCCCTTTAACACCAGCAGGGGGAATAACAAAAAACGGCAAACGGACGTTTTCTTCCAGTAGAGAGGTTAGAATAAGGCTACCCGTTTTTTCCGTAGTCTATTTTAGTGCGGAGCCCTCCCCCAAAAGATGGTAAAAGGGCACTGGACCTAGGTTTGGAGGGCCACGGTTCTCCAAACGTTTTCCTCCCCTTCGGGTTTTGGCCTCCCAAAGGCTCCAATTCGATGTATCTAGTGCCCTCAAACGCCGAGGGCCCCGGGGTGTCTAATAAAGTCGGTCGGGTCTTCCATTAGCCGAAGCCGATCGGAGCCTCTGGGTGGAGAGAGAACCCCCCCAATTTTTGGGAAACATACAAAGGGAAACCACCAGGACGAACGGAAACAATAGAGAGAACCCCCTCGTACAAAGGGAAACGAAAAGGACGAACAGAAACCAAAAAAACTGGGCTGCCAAAAACCAACAAAAAACCTTCCATTGAAAGCCCAAGCCGATCGGAGCCTCTGCCAAAAACCAACAAAAAAACGACGAGGAGACCCCCAAACGCCTCCGGGGTGTCTAATGGAGGGGTCGGGTCTTCCATTGAAAGGTGCAGGAGTTTCTGAGCTGCCAAAAAGAACGTTCAGCGAGGAAAGGGCCAATTGTTGGGAAACAAAAAGGGAAACCACAAGGACGAACGGAAGCCACAAAAACAAACCGAGGAGCTGGAGATCATGTGGATCTCGAAGCCCATGGACTGCAGGTCGATGGACGTGGCCACCCCCTTCATCCGCACGCAGGCGCTCCTTGCTCGTCCGTCGGATCGACCCGGGGGGGTTCAAGGGGCTTTTTTTTGGGGCGGAGAGACGGCTTAAAAGGGAGTGCCCGGTTTTTCCCGAAAGCATGGCGAAGGGTTCTTCCGCTGGGTTCACTTGAGTTGTTCTCATGAGAGTCATTACAAGGTGTCATTGCAAGGAATCATCATCATGAAAGTCATTGCAAGGAGTCATTGCAAGGAGTCATTGCAAGGAGTCATTGCAAGGAGTCATTGCAAGGAGTCATTGCAAGGAGTCATTGCAAGGAGTCATTGCAAGGAGTCATTGCAAGGAGTCATTGCAAGGAGTCATTGCAAGGAGTCATTGCAAGGAGTCATTGCAAGGAGTCATTGCAAGGAGTCATTGCAAGGAGTCATTGCAAGGAGTCATTGCAAGGAGTCATTGCAAGGAGTCATTGCAAGGAGTCATTGCAAGGAGTCATTGCAAGGAGTCATTGCAAGGAGTCATTGCAAGGAGGCAAGGATTGCAACTTTGCACTTGACTCCTTGCACTTGCAACTTGCACTTGACTTGCACTTCTTGACTCCATGCACTTGCAACTTGCACTTGACTCCATGCACTTGGCTCCTTGCACTTGGCTCCTTGCACTTGGCCCCTTGCACTTGCAACTTGCACTTAACTCCGTGCACTTGCGACTTGCACTTGACTCCATGCACTTGGCTCCTTGCAACTTGCAATGGCTCTCATGACTCCTTGCAATGACTCCTTGCAATGACTCCTTGCAATGACTCCTTGCAATGACTCCTTGCAATGACTGCTTGCAATGAATTCTTGCCATGACTCCTTGCAATGACTCTTTGCAATGACTCCTTGCAATGACTCCTTGCAATGACTCCTTGAAACAAGCAAGGAGTCAAGTGCAAGTTGCAAGTGCAAGGAGTCAAGTGCAATTGACTTGCGAGGAGTTAAAATCTCTTCTTAGGGCGGCGGGGTAGTGCCGACGACACTACACGAAAATCGACCCTCTGCGGGGATCGGCGTGGTCGAGGTGCAAAAACTCGAGGTTTTTTGCGATTTTAACCTGCTCGCGCGACCCTCTGCGGGGATCGGCGTGGTCGAGGTGCAAAAACCCATGGTTTTTTGCGATTTCTAATGCTCGCGCGACCCTCTGCGGGGATCGGCGTGGTCGAGGTGCAAAAACCCGAGGTTTTTTGCGATGTTTAACCTGCTCGCGCGACCCTCTGCGGGGATCGGCGTGGTCGAGGTGCAAAAACTCGAGGTTTTTTGCGATTTCTGCGGTGCTCGCGCAACCCTCTGCGGGATCGGCGTGGTCGAGGTGCAAAAACTCGAGGTTTTTTGCGACTTTTGTTGTTCGAACTGGTCCTCGGGAGTTGTCTCGTGGTTCGCGCGCCTGCTCCCGGAACCGGCGGGTCGCGGGTTCGATTCCTCCCTGGTCCGCGGGCGGGCGTCGCAAGATGCAACTTGCATTTTAAAGCAACTTGCGCAGAGCAACTTGCGCAGAGCAAGTTGCACAGAGCAACTTGCGCAGACCAACTTGCACCGACCAGTTTGCGCAGAGCGCCTTGCCTAGAGCAACTTGCGCAGAGCAACTTACGCAGAGCAACTTGCACAGAGCAACTTGCACAGAGCAGCTTGCACAGAGCAACTTGCAGGGAGCGCAATTTGCACAGAGCAACTTGCAGGGAGCCACTTGCAGGGACCAACTTGCCGGAGCAACTTGCGCGGAGCAACTTGCGCAGAGCAACTTGCACAGTGCAACTTGCGTAGAGCAACTTGCGCAGACCAACTTGCACCGACCAGTTTGCGCAGAGCACCTTGCCTGGTGCTGTCTCGCGCTTGCTTCACAAATGCTTCGTGTAGGGAAAAAGAACGCATCCTGCAGCGTTGGGCCGACCTCGCTTGCGATGTTCTGCTTTCGGGCCAACCGTGGTCTAGTTTTAGGCTACCCCCCAAAATGGCGGCTCTCCTGCGAAACCTGGCTGATTTTTAGTGGTTTGAAATGGTGGCTCTCCGATTTAAAGCACAAAACATGGGGAGGAAACCAACAGGAAAACCACCATAGATTTCTGTTGCTTTCTGTACCCCTGCTAGAAGTGGCTAACTTTTAGCGGTTTCATACGGACAACCCATTAGTTGGCAAAAAATTAAAGTCCTAACATCCCTTGGCAAAATGCACCAAAGAGATGGGTGGGTTTGCTTTTTGGGGAGGAAACCAAAATGAACACCACCATTTGGCTGTGGGTCAAAACTAAAGCACCAGGGGACTGCAGGTGTTAGTCCTTGGTTCCATTTACCAGGGCTCCAGTTTGAGTACCAAATTTGACCCACAGCCATTTGAGTTACAATCAAAACCTGGTACACAAATGGTGAACCCAGAACCATGTAAGGAATTAAGGAGACGGGTGCACCCATTTATGGTTGGGATTCTCCCTTACTAACCTTCATCTACCCGGGTTTGATCGTGACTCATTTGTAGGGTCCCCCTTTTGACACATAGAGGCGTTCCCCAAAAAAAGATTGCCGTGTTCAACCGGGTGCCAGGTGGAAAAACCGCGAAACATGAGCCAGCCCCGTGTGGCTTCCTTAGGGGACAAGTGAAATTGGGGATCCTCCTTTCTAAGGTCTTCTAGGTCCTCCAGTAGAGAGGTTAGAATAAGGGTACCAACTTTTTCTGTAGTCTATTTTAGTAGGGGAACCCTCCCCCAAAAAAGGGTAAAAGGGGACTACTGGGGGACCTAGAAGGGCTTCCAGACAGCATTCATTGCCACTAGAAACGCATATAGGACACTACCCAAAACCCATGCAGTGAGAATATTGCCTGTTTCGCTCATATCATACAGATATTCTTCCAACAGTTCTATGTGATTCGGATCCACCGAATGAAAGTTGCGGACGACGGCATGAAAAAGGGCCAATGTTGTGCAAACTTCGCGTACCACTGTCTGCCTTCGGTCACTCGAATCATTTCCAGTCCCTGGAGGCTCCTCCCAGCTGCTGGTTTGTTTCTCATGCTCACATATTGCAAGTGAACAAGTGGTCGCACGCAATCTGCCACGCAACGCAGGTTGTTGTGCTTACCTATGGTTGGTTCGCGTGCTATCCATGCTATGAGCCCCTAAAACCTAAAGATACTGTCGATGGACGACATCCATTTCGCACCACCTACGAAACCTTGGAATGATTCAATTCCACCCCAAATACCCACCCAACAATGGGTTCAACCATGGTTTCAAAGTGGAACCCTGGAAAAGGAAACAAGGACTAAAACCTGCGGTCCCCTGGTGGTATACATGCCCAAATGGATTTCGCAACCCTCCGCAGCAGGACGAAAAACGCGCAAAACGCCCAGCAGTTGGCCGAAGCCGAGCGTCACCAGCGTCTTCAGCCTCACGTCGCCCTCGTTGAAGGTGCTAAGCATCTGAAAGAAGACCTCCACCTTCGCGAGAAATCTCGGAAAGATGCGGTTTCTGTGGATCCAGCCCTTTTGCGGAGATCAAAAGAGTACTAAAAGAGTACTAAAGCAGAACCAGGGGGAAGAACAGAAACCGTTTCCTAGAAGAAAGGGTCCCCAGCAAACATGACACATGAGTCATACTCAAAACCTGGTAGTTTTCATGGTCGTAATCCCAGAACCATGCAAAGAATTGTCCGAAGGCGGAGATCCGCAGCGATTTATGGTTGGGAGTGTTCCGTACTAACCTTCATCTACCCGAAACGGTTTTGACTGTGGCTCACATGGGGTTGGAATGGTCCGCCCAGTACTCAACCCCTGTTTATTGATAGGGGGTGTCCCTAGGTGAAATGTGGGGAATCATCACTTTTGGAGGGGGAACCCCTATTCATAAACTAAAGTTGATTATTATGGGGTCAACATGAAACAGAATTAAAAAGGGAGGTCGCACCTATTTCTGCTTGGGATTTTCCCTTGCTAACCTTCATCCACTCATGTCATGTTTGATGGAACATGTTTGGGGTGGAGTTGTTTAGAGGGAAACCGAAAGCAGTTTGGGGCAGCCCAATTCTGAGACAAAGCATTCTGGTGTCGCGGCACCCTTTCGGGTGGTTTGAAGGAAGTCTACGATAATGAAAATATTGAGCAAAACTGCATTCGATATGCCATGATCATCATTATATCATTGCCAACGCTATTGTCAATGGTGTCAGATGCAAAGGACACCTACCATTTCCGGGCTCGCCTGTAGGAAACATCCATGTCCGCGCATTCTGGAAATCATGCTCGGCGCTGGAACTTCATTGTCACCGTTCCAAGGGTACTTTGAGAGTGTCACGTTGACGAACCACACGTGACCCGAGTGCTCATCCATCCTCAATGTGTCACCTGTCTGATCACTTCGTTCATCGCCAGAATGAGTGTTCCCCAAACAGGGTCCAGTTCCTCCAGTAGAGAGGTTAGAATAAGGGTACCAACTGTTTTCTGTTGTCCATTTTGGTAGGGGAGCCGTCCCCCAAAAAAGGGGTGAGAAAGGGCACTACGGGGGGACCTAGGGGTGCCCCTTACCACGAATGCAACTAAGCCGTTAAACACGTTCAGAACTCCAGGTATGTGACACCAGAGGGGGGGGGGAGGTTTTGGGCGCCCGGGCAGGGGAAGTACCATTCGTCACGTGCTTTGGCCAGGCATGTGAGTAGCAAGAGACATGCCGTACATTCAGGACAAAGAGAGAGAGAGAGAGAGACGCTGTACATTCAAGAGAGGCATCCATTGCGCTGTTCAACATGATTGCCATGCAAATGCATAGAAACAGCAGGGCACAGCATTCCCATTTTGAAGACAATGGATTCGATCCTAGATCGCCATCTAAATGGCCATGGTGCATTGTAGCTTACTCTACAAGTGTATTATTTTTTTGTTTTTTAAGTAAGTCCTACACCACTTTTGTTTGTTGCTATTTACAGGGGAATCGAATCATTCCAGGGTTTCTTAGGTGGTGCAGGATTTCGTCCATTCACAGAAATTTTGACCCGCGCTCACACGGTAAACCAAGTGAGGGAAGAGTTGCTGGGTGACTTCTGTCCGGAGAGCCGGACAACCTGCCAATCCCCACTTGGTGCAGTCCTACGCTTCCTCACTTGCTGAGTGGATGGCCCAAAAAAGTCCAAACTTTATGTTTACCACTAAAACGGTTTTCCCAAAAAGTTTAAAGTTCATGAACTCAGGAAGTGAGTCAACGTTTCCGCGATAACATTTGCCGTCCACGCGACTCTATGATCTCAAGGGGATTCCCTGACCAAAGAAAGCGGAAGCGAATTAAACCAGAAACTTCCATATGAGTTGAAAGCAAGCCCCTGCGCTCAAGCGAAGAGGACCTTGCAGAGAGCCACAAGCTCGCAAAAAAAAAAAGGCTGACCCTTTGTACACGTTTTTTTTTTTTTTAATGGAAACCATGAGGAAAACCACCGTGCCGGATTTGGATACATCATATTCATGTCATACTGTCAATGTCGGTAGTAGAAGGTCATGTAGAATGGACTCGAGTCGACAAGACGCAACATCTTTGATTGACTTCCCCTTTCCGAGTTCCACATTAAGGGGTGCAAGGTCCATGGCAACCACATGGGATCCGTAAAAACGAGGTTGCTTTATGAACACTTTACATGTCTAGGGCCGAAAACAAAATAATCATCCGCATGTTTCTTGTTTGGGTCTTGAAAACCCAAGACACATGTCATAAACCCCTTGGCCTAAACCCCTTTAAGACACATGTCCTAAATCATCATGTCATAGAATCACATCTCTACTCTTGGTATGGTAGCGAAAAACTGTCTTTTTGCAGACCCCCAGTAAAAATGAACAGAACCCAAAAAACAAAAAAAACATGCCAAGAACAGTGAAGATCATGTTCCTCAATTGCCCCTTCTTTCAGCCCGAGAGTTCGCGAAAGGCCAGCGCCAGTCACTCCGCGGGGTCTCTCGCCGCCCAAAAATGCGTGGGGCCCTTTGCGGTGAATCGCACGGGGGTAAGTAAGAGACCAAAAGGGAGGTATCACTAAAACTTGGTTGACGTTGGAAAGGGAGCAACAATTTATTTTTTAGCAGTTCAGTGGGGATTTCAACCACTAAACCACCATAAGCAAAAATGTAAAATGGTTCCCAACAACAAGCATGAAAAGGGGGGCTCCTTCTCCTCTTTACTAAACGGCTCCTCATTTTTTGCGAGGCGGCCATTTGGAGAAACATGGCCAGGGCGCATTCTTGATATCCACGCCGCGGACCGCCAAGTCTTGGCGGAACCTGCGGAGCCCCCCCAAAAAGGGCGGAAAGTCTCAGTTGATGCATGTCACTGGGCTGCCCTCACTCGGTTGACGTTGGAAGGGGAGCAAACATCTAATTAAATTTTAGTAGTTAAGTGGGGATTTCAACCACTAAACCACCATAAGCAAAAATGTAAAATGTTTCCCAACAACAACCATGCTCAGATCCCCTGCAAAAAGTTTAACTTGAAGCTGATGAGGGTGGTAGCTGGACTGATGGATTTCTTCGGCATGGATTCAAAATAAACCTTGGCTGCCCGTTGTCTGATCCCCCGCTAAAAGTGACTCACTTTTAGTGGGTTAAATGGAAACCCCCACTAAACACTCAAAGGCTAAAACGCTAAGGAACCGGATGGCTGGGAGCCACCAAGGTCAGGCGAGGCAGGGAGTCAGTCCAGAAAAGTGCAGGGAGTCAGCCCTGGGTCAGGCGAGGGAGTCAGGCAAGGCACCTTGATCTGGATCCCTGTTCGCATTGCTTCTCAGAAAAAAACACATCTGCCCGAAGGCTTCTACGAAAAAGATCCATCCCTCTGCCAGGGGATCGTAGCGTCCTCTGGGCCGCTGGCTTCGTTGCGCCGGAAGCCACCGGGAAACCGAACCGGAGCTGATCGGCGCCCGTCGGGCGGACAAAAAAATGGTCGTCAAACAACGCCGCGTTTGGTGCGGTTCGCCGTAATGAAAAGGTGACACGAACCGATATGACACTATGATACTGGCATAGTTCACCTGAATTCGGGATTCCCCTAGTAGCTTTCATCATCAGTGAGCTTGTTTTACTCAAAGGTGACATTGCTATGAGTGCGAACAAACGTAAGAAACGAAACACATGCATACCAATAGTGAGGCTAAGGGCTGATTGGAGTCAGCCTCAATGAAATACATTCAATTGTTTGTTGCACCTTTAGTCATCAGACAAATGCAAAACAAGCCCGCTACCTAACACGCACTCCTCCAAGCTTGGCAATCAAACGGTGATGGGTAAGTGACAAGGATGCCTGGGTCCTCCAGTAGAGAGGTTACAATAAGGGTACCCTGGGGAACCCTCCCCCAAAAACGGATAAAAGGGCACTACTGAGGGACCTAGATGCTCTTTTCTCCCGCCAAAACAAGAGAACAAAGCAAAAACCACATAGATCTGGCTTTTTTGCGCACCCCAGACCCGTAGTACTGTAAATATTGGAACCCCTGTTGGGGTTGACCGACCTTTTTCACCGAACCCGGCAAACAAAGGGCAACCAGTTTGCGCCCGTTTCACCCATTGACTTTGGAAGGGCAACCAATTTGCGCCCGTTTCACCCATTGACTTTGGATTCAAGGTTCTGTCGGCCATATACCCATAAAACCAGCCAATAGAACCAGCTAAGAGTCTAGATAAGTAAAGGGAGGGGAAATAGTCCTCTGGGAACCCGACAAACTGTTTTTCTTTTTGGTGGTTTTCCTGTCTCACAAACAAGGGCCTCAAAACAAGAGAGAGGGCTGTATCTTTTTCGGCAACCCCCTTTTCTTTCTGGTTTCTTTTCTTTCTTAACCCGAAACCAAAATTGAACTTCACCACGTTGGGCTTTGGCAAAGGGGGTCCTACCTGAACCAAGATGCGCCATACCCATCTCGCCCCGCAAAATCGACGCCAAAAACGCCTCGGCTGCTCGGCCGCGCCACGGATCTGTTCCAAGGAGATCACGGGCTCGCCCTCTTCCTTGCGTCGGTGTTATGGCGGGCGAAAAATCAATGGCACCCGTCTGCCCGCTTTGGTCGTGGTAGAGTCTTTTACTGACCAACCAACCAACCAACCAACCAACCAACCAACCAACCAAGCCAGCAAGCAACCAACCAGCCAGCCAGCCAACCAACCAACCAGCCAACCAACCAACCAACCAACCAACCAACCAACCAGCCAACCAGCCAACCAACCAACCAGCCAACCAACCAGCCAACCAACCAACCAACCAACCAGCCAACCAACCAACCAACCAGCCAACCAGCCAACCAACCAACCAAGCAACCAACCAACCAGCCAACCAACCAACCAACCAGCCAACCAACCAGCCAACCAACCAACCAACCAGCCAGCCAACCAACCAACCAACCAACCAGCCAACCAACCAACCAACCAACCAACCAGCCAACCAACCAACCAACCAACCAAACCAATCAACCAACCAGCCAGCCAACCAACCAACCAACCAACCAACCAACCAACCACCAACCAACCAAGCAGCCACTCAACCAGCCAGGCAGGGAACCAGACCCGAGAAAAAACAGTCCTAGGACAAAAAAAGCACCTCGTCCCTTTAGTCATCCACGAAAAGAACCCACATCCGGGAATTGCAGCCAACTCACCCAACTGTACCCCCAGAATGAAACTTGTGCAACCAATTTCCTGTACCTGGCGACTTGACCATGGGACCTGCTGGGTGGATGTTCCAACTTTAGCCCCTGAATGCCAAGAAACGCGACTTGCTTCAAGCACTTCTAGCCACACGTTGTGATCTGCGCCGAAGATGAGCCAGGTGACCAACCAAAACCGGCGAACACACGTCTTCGCGCGGCAATCTTTTGGCAACAGACTGCAACCCTCAACCATTCGGCCCATGATATTCGCACAGATCCTGTTGAAGCAGATAAAAACCTCACAGCGTCCAGCTTCAAGGCTTCCGAGTAACGCGTCAAGACTGGGAAGGGTCTGTCTCAATATCATGAGCCCCCTTACCTAGATAGCCAAGTTGCTGCTTTTTCAGTCACTGTTGCTGGTTTTTGGGGTCAAGTGCATGGGAAACAACTGCAACTGGCGATGCAGCTAAAAAAGAAGAAGAAAAACATCGAAGAGGGGGCTTGTGTTTCCCATGTAAATCACCACAAGGCTATCGATATTCAGGGGATGAAACCTGGTCAAAAGCTCGGCTTTGCCCCTTTTTTTGCCGCAAGCATGTGATGTCCATGCAAAAGAAAAAGCACCTGCCTTTAGGCAAAAAGGGTCGGCAAATCAGTATAGTCCGCCAACCGGCAACAAGAAAATAGATCCTCTAAGGAACCTTCATGCACGTCGCAAGCCCGAGCGACGTCGCTAATGGACTACCTTGCTTTCGGATCGGAAGGCTATATCTCAAGGCCGTCCCACAAAGTCGACCCATTCTCATCACCTGTGAACCAACATATAGACATGTACCCCCTGGATGGATTCTGCTTCGGGGAATCGGGTTGCAAATTTGCAAATCAAAACCTGGTTTCGCTGTGTTAACCCATAAGTCCCACAAGAATGTAGTTTGGGCCTTTGGTACCCGATGTCCTACAATACAGACAGAGGTAGTTATTGCTCCGGAAGACCCTTTCAAGCATTCTCCTCCGACAAATGAGATCGCTTTGGTGACAAACCGCGGTACAGACCAGTGCACATGATCACGTGATCACCGCATGTCCATCTGAAGATACCGTACCTAAAAATGCAAGTCGATGTTCCGGGCTTGAGACCTTCGTCAGGGGGTCGGGGTGGGGGGGAAGGGAAGGTGGACCTGGGTATTTTTCTCATCCGTGCTCCAGGGGTCGTTGTTGGCGGTGGTGTAGGGCCGGAAGAGCTTCGACAGATCCTCCGCGTCCTTGGCGTCCTTGACATTCCTTCAGGGCCGGCTCTTACGCGGGCCGGAGGGCTTGAAAGCCAGGTCCAGGATTCCAGTTGGCCCCCAAGGTGGAGAGAGATCCGAAAAAAGGGGGCACTAGCCTAGTCAACAAACATGGAACCCTGTTCATCGTGCCCTTGAGCCACCAAAAAAGGAAATGTCAACCAATGGTTGAAAACAGAAGCTCGGATCGGTTGCAAGTCAGGCAGCCGTACAGCAACCGAAACTCCCAACCCTTGCTAGGTTAGCAAAAAGATGTGTTCGTAGCCACTGAACATCCACCAAACAGATCAAACATGTTATACACGCACCAAGACGGCAGAGCCATGCTATGAATGGACGTATTTGCCAGGGCCTTTGGAAAAGGGGCGCCAAGGGGCCAACAAGTTCCCAATTCTGGGGAGCAAGGGAAGGGGGCAGTTCAACCCGCGCATGACTTCCATTTGCCTAAGCCCCTGGAAAAAATCGAGAAAAAAAAAAAAAAAAAAACTTCCAGTGGTGATAGATTCCATTCAAGACCAACAGGGGAAAAGAAACTAGGTCCTCCAGATTTGAGAGCTTAGAATGAGGGTACCAACTTTTTTCTGTAGTCATATTTTCGTAGGGTCCCGAACCCAAAACCCCAACCAAAAAAAGAAACGGTGAGAAAGGGCACCCAGCTGGGGGAAGCCTTGGAAAAGGGGTGTCCGGGGCAAAAACCAGTGGCATGCCCGAATGGTCTGGAGACGGAGGGTGTCCGGTTAAGATCATACCAGGGGAAAAGAACAAAAAAAATATCAGCCTGGCTTCCAAATCAAACCCTAAACCCTAATAGATTTTAGTTTGGGTGGTAAGCAAGGGGAAGATGAACCCCAAGAAAAAATCGGCCACCCAGACCGCCCGCTCTTCTCGAAGATCATTGACTCCAAATCCGGCTGCGCCAGCTTCATCGCCTGCCGATTCGTTCGCATCCCCGGAGAAAACCTGAGCCTTTGCAATAGGCTTCAAAATGGGGGGGGGTGGGGGGTAGTTGGCGGGGGAGTGGGGGTAGTTGGGGGGGGGGTGGAATCAACGATCTGCAAATGGCTGTGGATCAAAATGAAAGGGCCAGGGTCACGCAGGTTTGAGTCTTTGGTTCCATTTACCAAGGCGCCATTTTGGTCCATGTTTTGACCCACCGCCAAATGTCGCTATAATTCCAGAAGCTCATTTCAGGTATCCCCAAGTAAAGACCCTTCAGGAGCTCGTTCTACCAGCGGATCGGTGAGCTCGATCCGTTAAAAAAGTGGCAGAAGGAGAAGTCCACTCCACTGACTTGTCGCACCTGGCTCCAAGAAGTCACCCATGGCCAGTTGGTCGCTCTTGCTGCGATGGCTCTTTTTGCTGCGGCTCTTCTCACTTGGGTGCTTCGACTACACATCTGGAAAAAGGCAGGGGATCCATCCATTGAGCCCTTTTGAAACTTCCTTCGGGGTGTCTTGGACAAGGGAAATCCGACGACTATACGTGTGTTTTTGACCCACATGGCAAGTCTTGAACAGGGGAAGCCCTGTAAAAAACGACATTCACCGACCATGCGCGTGTGATTGGATGCGGTTGGCTGCACTCTTCAGAGAAAATCCATCCGATGATTCGGTCCATGGTGGACAGGTTAAATTGGAGCTCCAGCGGAGAAAAGACCAGGGGCCCAATCCGAAGTATCCCTCTTAGCACACACTGAAACTTTGGCTTGACAAGACACCTAGACTTTTGTCCAGCAAACATGGAAGTTACAAGTAAATTATTTTGAGACATAAGGCTTCTAGCTATATAAATGGAGATAAAAATACAAAAACACTCATTGCAGTCACGCAAAGTGTCCAGGACTCACCCACCAGCAGCAAAAGCACCGGAAGTAGACAGTGATGAGCCTCTTGCCAACATTAGCAGCGCCCGCTCAAATAGGGTTTGTCTTCTTTGGTGCACCCTTTTCTGGTGGATTGAAACGCAAACCAAAAGGAAAACCACCATTTGGGGGGGTGTCCCCTTAACAAGGCACACCACAATGGGTTGTTCTTAAAACATTGATTGTTTTCTTTTTGGCCGCCATGAGACACTCAATAAGTAGAACAATGATAAACCATCCATGGTTTCCCTTCAGAGGATCCCCAGGTTCATTCACACCCGGTTTGGTCATTCCCTATCGCACAAGCAAGAAACGACCTGTGAGACCCCAAAAGAAACTCGCCGAGACCAGTCTCAATGCGGCCATCTTCGAATTCCCGGCCTTCTCGACGAAAGTGCTGGTTACGATGTTCCAGACGGAGATGGTAAAAATGATGACCTGAGAAGTGAGTGACCCTGGCAAGCTTGGCGTGTCACGTCCCCCCCATGTCCTTTGGCTTGTCAGCTTGTCAAAAAGAGCAAACGCCCATCCCTTGTGAAACTTCCTCACTTGCTGAGTGGATGGCCCAAAAAAAGTCCAAACTTTGTGTTTATCACTACAATGGTCCAGACCCAAAAAGTTTAAAGTTCATGAACTCAGGAAGTGAGCTTCCTTTTGGCAAATGAAACTCGTGGCCGAATCAGCAAACCGTCTGAGGGCTCTGAACCGGAGACCTCGCGAACCGAAGCGCGCGCAGAAATTTGGCTCCGGGCGTAGGTGAGGAAGCAAATGGACGGCATCAAGCCGCTCACCTGCCAGGCACGGTGTCTCAATTGGGGGGCAATATGGTTGGCAGGTTGCTTTCGCATTCACCAACCAAAATGGCTGCAAAAAGGCGCATCTACGTATTCCTGTGCCTGAATTTTCGTACCGAAGGATCTCACAAGTCAAGTTGAGCAAACTGAAAGGTCGACCTTTGCCGATTTCCCCCGGACACCTGGACAGACAGCTTGCAGGCTTGACCCTGGTAGTAATATGTTCGCTGGAGAAACGTTGTAAGAAAGTTTGGCTCCAACAAAATAACGGAACCCGGCTTCCGCAACCAAGACGCAACAGAAGTTCGACGGAGCATTGGCCACTGTCTTGCAACAGGCGCCACCCACGTCTCACCCGTGTGGATAACATATCACCTCTTCAGGATACAAAAACCATGCAAAGGTAGGAGTTTTTAACATGGCACATGTGGCCAGGTGCCCAGGTGCCGTCTCACCGTCACCTATCCTAGTATCCATCACTTGTTTCGAGGTTGTTGTCTCAGGCAAACAGCTTACCTCATTGAACCTCTTGTTGGTTCATTCCCTAAGGTCAACAAATCCCGTCCTTGTCACACATACACACACACGCACGGGTCACTAGATTTTTGTCTGGGTTCAAAGCTTGCACACCTTATGGGCCAAGCCTTTTTTCTTCCTGGTCTGTTTGAAGACGTCAGGCAGAGAAAGCCGCTCTCGCGGTGCGGCTAAATTGGCTGAAACCAATCTGTGCCCATGTTGTCAGGGTGGATGCGGAGGGGTTCCCATAAAAAGAAACCTAGCGGAGCTTTGCTTTCTGACTGGGACATCTGTGAGGCGATCGGGCATTCAATCTTTCCTGAGATCAACTGAGGCTTGGAAACTCCCACCGTACTCAAAAACCAAAGCATCCTGAAAACCCTCCCGAGGCACTGAGATGCTTTTGGGTCAACACGAGTGGCATATGGCCATGGGTCAAAATCCTCTACCCCCAGTGAACATCCCAATCCCCACTAAAAATGACCAGAATGGGTGGTCCACCTACCCCAAAATGGTACCATTGGTTTTGACCCACAGCCATACGAGTGCTGTTGAGCAAAAGGATGTCGCCACTTAGAGACCCAATTGATTCCCATTACCACGCTTAGCGGTTGGCGAACTGAGTCTGCTCACTTTCAGCGCTCAAACAGCAAGTCTCCTGCATAGTGGTGCCAACAGAAAAAGCTGATCAAACACCCTGCACCCACGCGTTCCTTGAACGAAATTGCCCAACAGGGTTCTCTTTAGTTCCCCCGATTGATAATTGTCCACATTACACACTACACTCTGGTTGGGGATTCAAATTGAGTTTCATTTTTGGGGTGATACCCCAACAAACAAAAACTTGTTGAGGTCACATATTGGAACATATTTGGGGGGCAACCAGAATGCATTGATGCCATGCTTCGGGTACCATAAAAGAAAGGCAAACAACGAAAACCACCCTTGAACAACTAACGAGGTCTCAAAGGCCCTCAAAAATCCAGAACGAGGGAGGGTAGAAGCTTCTGCGGCGTTCTGATCAAATGGCTCCATGAAACATTCCGACAAGATGTGGCTCTGATTTGTGGCTTTTGGTTTAGGGCTCCCAAAAAACCCTGAAACTTTAGCTTGAGCATGTGCTGATCTCCAAAAGGCTCATTGGAACGGTGTGAAGCAATTGGAACATAGATGTCCTTTTAGGGGAAATGGATTGGTTTCCCTGGTACATGATTAAACCACCAGGTAAAACAGGAATCGCCATCTACTAGCAAAACAACCAAGAAGGACATCAAGGGGCTTTTTTGGGCTTATTTGGGCTCCCTCCCCCTTCCCTCCACCCCAGCCCCCATGAACAGTGTGAAGCAATTGGAACATCCAACACGTTCCGCGTGAACAAAAATCGAGGCATAGCTCTTGGTTCGCAACGGCCTGAAGAAGGGAGTAGGCGTCGTTCCAGTCGATGCCCGCAGTGGTGGACTGCGAGGAAAGAAAGGAAGAAAAAAAGCACACCCGGAGCTGGCTGTATTTTCTGGTTCACCAAGTAAAAATCATAAAACTGCTTAAATTAAACACCGAATAAACTCCAAAAGCATGTTTAAAGGATTTGGTTTAACACTCTTTTGTGTTTTCATTCAAAAGTTGTTAGTTTACAAACAATCATAAGGCGACGGGATTCAAATCATGAAAAAACAATCTGAATGAGTTGATATAACCCACGGTTTCAAGGAGGCTCACGGTCTAAACTGGGTCAACCATTATTTTCTGATACCATCAGATGGTGAAGGTTCAAATAGACCTTGCGGTGGAACCACTGCGGCCAATGCTCCGCTTTGGCCGCTCTCTTTGATGGGAACCAACATATGGGGGTGTCTTTTTTGGGGTTCCCCGTGTTTGTGGATCTTAATGGAAACCAAACAGGAGAAACACAATTTGGGCGGTTGTCCCAAAAAACCACACCGGCGCGTTTTCTGCGTGCAAAAAAAACAAAGCACCGCCAAACTTTTTGAGTTGTCGGAATAGGATGTTGGGTACCCTTTCGGCCAACTTCGCCGTTCAAGGACCAGTTTGGGCATGTGTTGTTACCTTTCTGGGGGGGTTCTCTTTGACGCCAACTGCTTGGGACCCGTTCCTGTTTTTGGAATGTGGATCCCTCTTTTGTCAGGCCCTTTTTGGGTAGGAAAACGAAAAATATGCCATTTTGAAGACCAAACCAGGTAAACTTGAGTGGGTAACCCGCCCGTATGTCAAGTCTAGACCATGAACTACTGGATTGTACCACGCAGCCTAGCACGGAAGTGCCCGTTTTTACCAAAAGACTGCCCAAGTCTGCATCCATGTTTCTGAGGAAATGGAACTTCAAGTTGCGATTTCCTTTTGGGGGATCACCTTCCTGGGATGGCAAAGGCCGACGTAACTCTTTGGACCAACAGCGAAAGAGGGGTGCTTGGGGGGGGAACAGGTCGTCTCACTCGCAACCCAAAAAGTGATATATCACCTGTTGGGTCCTTGTCGAACAGACTAACATTGGAAAACCAAAAGGTCCAAGAGCCTAAGCGATTGAGGCTAACAAAGGGAAAGGAATGATCACCTCTTGACCATGACTGAAAACAGGAGAGTCGGGACTGGGCAAAACCCGCGGCCGCATTTCCGCCCATGTCCAAAGACAACTGCATCCACACCTGCAAGAAAATCCTTCCATCGACTCCCGAGTTAGAACTGAGCTGTTTCTTCACCGACAGACCCCAGGTCAAGGGACTCCTTTTTGTGGGCAAGAAAACCACCACGGCGCCTCGCAGCCATGGCTCTGGCGAGCGTTTTTTCTTTGCAAGGACCACCTGAAAAAATGGAGAGAAAAGGCAGGGTCACATGGCCATGGGTAAGAAGCCTATGGCTCCATTTCGGGCGGATGAACATCCGTGTGCCACCAATTTTGATGTTCACCAGGGGCTTCCTGGGTTTTGACCCACAGCCACATGGTCATGATTCCACTCTCTAACATGCAACCACACCCATCGACCCCTCCCCTCCCCCACCAAAAGCCACCGGGCGCAAAATTGCGCCTGGAAGAGGGTCACGATGGCACTGCCTGGACACAAACGCAAGGAGGGCCAGAAAACCAGCCCCCAGTGAACTGTCAATTCATCACTTTGGAGGGTGGTTCCATATTGAAACTCATAGCCAGGTTGGGTGAGAGTAGGCAGCCTTCCAAGCCACTTCTTAGAAGGCTCTGACAGGGAGGTGGCTCGATGGCAAAGTGAAACTGAGAAGCAAAACCCGGTATTACCATAGTCCACCCAGAATCATGTAAAGAACTTTCCGAAGGCGGATATTCGCAGCTATTTATGGTTGGGAGTATCCCTTACTAACCTTCATCTACCCAGGTTTTGATTGTGGATGGGCAAAGTCTCATGTGAGCCTCGGAAGGATGGTTTGTTTTGTTTCATCGTATTGGTTTGTATGCTGTAAAACTCAGCATCTTCTTGTATATGTGCACGCATTTACATAAGTACCATTAACATCGCCAGCATCGTTTTAACACTCCTGGGGTGGCTTAGATTTGCTGGATGGGATGGCTTAGGGTTGGTTTGGGGATTTTGGGGTGGTTCAGACTCGATTTAGGGTGTGCATAGGTTTGCTTAGGGTTGGTCTAATGTGGGTTCAGGGCCAAGTTCAGGGCTGGCTTGGGGTGAATTTAGGGTTAGGGTATTTGGGCTGAGTACAGAGTTGGGGCTGGTTTATGGTGGGTGTTTGGACTTGTCCATTTACAAGTTGTTTGGTGGATTTAGGGATGGTTGAAATGCTAATTTAGAGTGAGTTTCGAGGAAGAGCAGGGTTGGTTCAGGATGGTACAAGACCCACTCAAGGCCTCAAGCACCGATGAGCAAGGGAGATACAGTTTCAAGCCCAACTGGAGCTGGTCACCAAAGAATTGGATCAATTTGGCTAGACTTGCAGGGGATGCATTTGTACAACAAAAGAGTGGAGAGTCGAGAGAAGGAGCGGTGTGAGCTCGCGCCGGCTGAGCCATGGTCTACATTCGTACACCTGCAAGCTCCGCAACCAGGGCCGAGGTTGACAGGAAGCACAAACAAAAAGAGGTCAAAAGGAGCTTTGACCTGGACCCATGATTTGCCTATTGAGGATGGCTAACGGCCAAGAATGTGACGATTCCGACTAAGACTACTCCAGGTCAGCGCATGCAGCCCGAAAAGGTGGTCCGCAAAAGAGATAATTCTTGAATTCCTCCCAAACTGAGCTTTGATTCTTGCTTTCAATCTGCAGAGTACCACATGGGAGGATTGAATCGTTCCTTCATTGATTGCTTCAGGGGCCATTTAAAAAATAAAAATAAAAAAGCAAGAGCAGAACTGGGCGGTTCTGCTGAGCCTTGTCAAGTTTCGTGCTGACGAGCTGTCAGCTTTGACGCTGGGAGCCCCAGAGATGAGCCGAGGCCCCGGCCCACAGAGCCAAAGAAGCGCATCACGTCCCTTTTGTAGGTCTCGGGCCAGGCATCGATCCGGAAAAGCCCGGACTGACTTTTTCACCCCTACTGTGGATGGTTGCGAAATCCAGGTCGCACCACGCGTTGAAACCTTGGGAATGCCGCTGTGTGTCAAGGTATTTCTAAGGGAATCATGAACCATTCCAGGGTTTCTTAGGTGGTGCGAAATGGTTTTTGCAACCATCCACAGTATTTATAAGGGGTGCTCCCTCCAAAAGCGAAGGATTCCCACTAAAAGGGGACACTCCCCAATTAATGAAGTAGGGGTGCTGCTTGCGCCGGGGCTCCCAGTAGGTGCCCGATTGATGTCCACCGGTCTCACTTGAATTTCCGAGCCATCTATTGGGCGTGTCTTTTTCAAGTCAATTTGGTGGACTTAAAGGGAAACCAAAAGGACCCCACCATTTTCGCGGGGCCCATGATTTTAGGACACCCCCAAACCCCCCCAATCAGGGCAACTCACGATGCTTCAAACCGAAAAAAAAATCTGGGCTGGGGGGATGGAGTTCCCCTTCCCAAAAGGGGCGCTCCTTCATTCAGGCGCGGGGGTTTCCTGAGGCTTGGGAGTGGGGTGGTTAGATTGGATGTCGCCTGTGGAACAAATATTCGGAGCTAGAAAGCCCATCACTTGCGTCGCGTGCAATGTAGGTGTGTCTGTGTGTGTGTGTGTGCCCGTGTGCCTGTGTGCCTTGCATCTGGTTCGCATCTTTGGAACATGTTGGGGTCCAAACTTTCTCCGAAATCAGAAATCCGTTCCGATCCTGAGGGAAATGCTACGGTCGCTTCCTCTGCAAGTGGCTTGCTTTCTAACATTTCAGCACAATCAACTTTGGCCGTCACCAGCCAGCTACAAAGGACTGCTGATCATTGCAAACAAAAAATGAATACAAGGAAGAAAAGAGGGAAACAGCAAAGCAAACCGCATGTACAGGAGCTGCAGCCATTTGGCTTCTATGCTAAGGTTCCGCGAGGTTGGATGCCCCAGTGAGCATCCCAATCCAACCACGAAAATTTAGGTTCTAAAATGAGTGGTGTGAATTCACCCAGTCCAACCAAAATGGGATCCCATGGGTCTTGCCCCACAGCCCTATGATTACGCCTTTGTGTCCGACACGGAAGCACCTCTGGCACAAGCATGCTTCTTCAGGCGGGTCCCTGGACTCGGATTCTGTTCAGCGGAGCTGCGCCTTGGCATTGTATCCTGCTCTTCCATTTGCGTTCTCGCCCCCCAGGAAAACAAGAAACTACTTGGTAGATTTTCCCTTTAAACCAACAAGGGAAAAAGAAAAAAACTTCACAAACGGAAGTAGACATCGATCCAACTGTTGTGCACCTCTTTTTCGGGGTCCATGTCTTTCCTCCGTCACTCGGATCCGGATCCCATCCAGATTGATTCGATGTCTGTTCAAGACTCCACTCCCGTGGCTTCAAGACGGACAGACCCTACGGTGGATGGACGCGACATCCATCCGGTTCGCACCGTTCAGAAATTTTGGGATGCGTCGACTTCCCGGTAAAACCCAACGTTTCGCACCACCTCAAAAGCCGTGGAATGAGTCGACTTCCCTGTAAATACCCAGCGAACCATGGTTTCCAATGGATTCAAAAGTGGTGCGAAATGGATTTTGTCCATCCACAGTATCTCGTCATGTAAGGAGTGACAAGTCCCTATGAGAGCCGCGGATCGCCCGAAGCGGGCAGCAGGCAGCACAATATCCGTTTGCACTATGCCCGTGCTTCAAGAAGGGAGCATTTAACCAAGGGATGTACACCAAAACATCCAAAACCGAAACACCAAAACCACCCCTCAACCACACACACACACACACGGGGGGAAAAAAAAAACAAAAAACATACCTGACATGTACTTATTAGCCCAACAGCCCTACCCGATCGGCCCAAAAAGAAACCAAAAATTGGCTCCAAGACCCTCCACCAAAAAAACGGACCTTGGGACCCCTTCGCTTGGACCTTGGGGCTTCTGGTCGCTGAGAGCCCACGCCTCATCCAAGTTCTCGGCCTGGCAAGTGGATCGCAGGGCGAGCCCGCTCGCCGAGACCCGAATCGGCGCGAAGACAAAACGGGAGAACCCAACCAGCGGCATAAGGGGTGGAGTTTGGGCTGCTGCCAACAAAACAGAAGCGACCAAAGCATTTAACCGTTGGGGCTTGAAGGAAAAACAGAAGCGACCAAACCATTTGGGGCTTGATTTGCGAAAGGTTCGCAGCAACCTTGTCACACCAACGCCCCCCCCTCCCCCAACCCGCAGAGACTGCAACTGGCAAGGTCTTGCACGTGGGCCCGCCAGTTTCCATACCGCCGCTCTTCATAACTGAGAGGGCGAAGGGGATGTTCTTTGCCGTGGCCCATGGGCCCAAGGTGCATCTGAGATCCATTCAAAACCTACCGGGAGCACAAAAAAATATCCCACCCCCCAAAGAAAAGGCACGGTGGTTGCCAAAGGCTTGGGTAGCCACATTTGCTGATGAACCCTTATCTACGGCTCCCCCTCGTAAATGATGAACCTCGGGCTGGACCCAAGCCCCAACAGCTGTCCAAAATGGCTCCGGAATGAACGAATCGAAATTTATCAAATCACTCCCTGTAGGGACCAGAAACCGATGGCGGGTCCGATTTAAGCGGGATGGCGGGTCCGATTTAAGCGGTCACAAACTCGCCAGCGCAGCCGACACGAGGTATTCCGTCAGTCCCTGCACAATGAGCAGGCTGAAGACGTAGAGCACGAAGACAATCATAGCCTCCAAAACAGCAAATCAGATTTTGCTCGGCAAGTTACTCTCATTCAACCTGCAAAGCGGCTTTTTGCAAAGCAGGTATCCCAAGAAGAGGAACCTTTTCTGACGTTTCCGTTGCGCACTTTTGTCAGGTCGCAACGCCGAAAACCAAAGGCATCCTGCCCGCAGGTTTCGGAGAGGCGTTGGTCAATGGCGAAGCCAAGCACTGCTGAGAAAAGAGGAAGCCAGGTTCAACTCACTGCATGCTTTGCCAGGGTCCATAACTTCCCAGCTAGCCTACAAATGTTGCTTGACTTCGGTATCTTGCTTTCTATTTGAACCGGCACTTGTTGCTATGTTGAAAAGGACGTATGGTGTTGTTTTGATATAACCCCACAGTCTACCCACTGGGCTTGTCTCAAAATCGGGCCCCTCAAAATTGGTTGGTTTCCTTTTCCTTTTCTCCTTCAAAACCAGGCCCAAGGGTATCCCAAGAAAGACGAGAGCCAGCCCTCTTTGCGTCCATAGAGTCAACTGGCTGATAGTCACACCTGGAAATGACTGACTTCACCAAAAGGTGACGCACTGAACAAGCTCAGCTCGGATTTGAACAATGGGATATACTTGCCCAATGACCCTGGCAGAAAAGATGGGCACTATTATATCTCTTTTTGGGGCCCAGTTTGAGCGGGGAACCCTCCAAGAGACCAGATGATCTCACTCCCGAGTCAGAGAGTCATCTCGGGTCCACACCAGGCACCAGAAGACGTTCATAAACGAGCCGAGGCAGCCTCAGGTAGGTTATGTTCCGAGCTCGAGCAGCTCGGGTGTGTCTCACCCCAGCAAAACATTCGAAGATCCCAGCAAATGCTCCGTGAGCCGGGACAAAAAGCTTTGGCTCCACAAAATTTTGGTGTCACCTTTTTGGCACAGGTCTGGGACTTTCAAACTTGAGGCTTCGCCTCCGAACACCAAGACTCTTTCCCAGGGATCCAGTCGACTGCCCACGTGCAGTGGGATCCTTTCCCGAAACCCCGAGCAAAAACTGGGCTGTCCGAGCCCCCGCTCAAAGTGACTAACTTTAAGTGGGTGAAATGGAAATCCAACACTAAAAAGCTAAAAGGCTAAGGAACCAAATGGCTGGGAACCTCACCCCACAAATACGTCGAAACAGGTGGAGCTCCACATCAATGGCCCCGTTCAACCCATGCCAGACCGCGTGCTTCGCTTCGTGAGGGCGAATGCTCAGCCCCAAAGACATGCCTTCGTTGGGTCCTCCAGTGGAGAGGATAGAATAAGTTGGTACCCGATTTTTTCTCTGTGGTCTATTTTAGTAGGGTCCCGAACCCTCCCAATCAAGAAAGGGTGAGGAAGGGCACTACTGGGGGACCTAGACCCTTGCATTTTGGTCTATCAGGGAAAACTACATCTTATCTGCTTGACAACACCACCTTCCTGGTAAGCTCGTTTCACTTCGGAATCGGTGCATGCCCGTCTTGTGCCGGTCCATCGAATTGACCTTGGCCCGCATCTGGGGTACACGTAAACTGATGCTTGTCAATTGTGTTTCATATTTATGCCCTAAATATATAACAAAGACACTTCATTGACCAACCCCTTTTCACCTTGCTTTAAAGGGAACCAGCAGAAGAGCCGCCATTTTGGGTGAAAGGTTCCCCTGTGACACACACACACACACTCACTTCATTCGCGCAGCAGTCCATCATCAAGCGCAGGTCCGTAAAGAAGCGTAGCGTACGGAAGACTCGCAAGACCTTCGCGATCTTGCCTCGGGCAGGGGATTAATGGCTACCCCTTGTTGAAAACTTGTTGCCGGTTAAAGATCCAACATAGCGTTCAAGAATCCCCAAACAAGAGTGCCTATTTTTTGGTTGCATTGCTTTGACAAAAGCGGACTTGCAAGGCAACTACTTGGTTCTTTGTCAGAAGTTGACATCATGCCGTAAAACCAGAAGACAACTTGGAGTGGGCGCCTTTCCAGCCAGAAAGAAACCAGGAAACTTGAAAGCAACCCAAAACATTCCGAGAGGAACCTCTCTTTTGAAGAAAAGCCGTCAACAGCTTTCGGGGGTTGCCTCTGCTGCACTTTTCCACTGCAATGTTCAACCCACCCTAAACCCGTCCACATGCGAAAGCAACCCAACTCCACCCCCAAAAACCCAGCCCCAAACGTAAAGATATGACCGGGGTTCCATTTACCCACCCAAGGGAGAAAAAAAATAAAATGTGTCGGGCCCTTCATGCTGGCCTAGACATTCTTTCGCACGGGCCTCGAGTTCAAGACCGAAATATCGAGGTGGCCCTCCAGAAATGTACCATCGATGGTTCCCCATGTCCAACGCATCGCCCTATCTCATTTCGGTCTCGGAGGTCCCTTTCGATCGGAACTTCCAAAAGCATGGTCTCAGATGCCTGGATGGCCGAGGGCAACCGGCAACTTGTCTGGAGCAGTAACAAATCGAGCGAGCCATTTCGATGCATGCGTGCGCGCAAGTTTCCTTTCGCGGCCTTGCTGCGACCTCCCACAGATTTTCAGGAACCTCAGGCTCAGTGAACATCAGCTGTAGCCACTCGGAGAAAGGAGAGTGCAAAGTGAAAGGAAGAGTGGTCATTTCGCTTGTCCTGTGGAAGTTCTGTGCTTTGTACATATTCTGACTGCAAAATCGCTCAAACACTGGCCAAACTCTTTGTTTACCACTCATCTTATCTTGTCAATCAACACATTGATCAACTCTAAACAACTTGGGAACTGAGTTGTTCCTTGTGTTTCAATTGCTTGCTCTTCTTTCTTGCGCAAGGTCTATTCACTTCTTGTACAGGAAAGTACTTGGATGTGCAAAACCGAGAAACCCAAAGGACACAGCCGCCATTTTCTGGGCGCCCCATATGAATCGGCCTCAGCGTTTTATAAGCCTGGAATGGGAGGCTTGCTGGGAGCCAGCCCGGCGGAAGTGGGGAAGCCGGGATCCACTTTGAAGCCGACCTCTTGCCCACAATTGGTAGACATTTACCTGGACTGTCCTCAGATCCCCCGCTCAAAGTGACTAACTTTTAGTGGGTTGAATGGAAATCCCCACTAAACACTAAAAAACTAAAAAGCTAAGGGGATGGCTGGGAGCCACCAAGTTACCAGTTGACTTGTCAAACTGCCAGCTTAAGTTTCCCTCAATTCCTCTAGTCAAAAGACTTGCTGGTTCTCAGCAGGGAATGAGGGAATGAGGGAATGACTCGCATAGCTCATAACCCATCCATGGTGTCTATGTCTTTAAGGGAATCCCTAGGTTCAAGAAGAGATGATGCAATTTAGGGGGTCCCTTAGACATGTGAAATATATATATATATACATAAAAAGGAAAAAACAACTGCCGGAGCCAGATCCTTTAATCCGATGGCCTCTTTTTTTTGGAGACAAACGAATAGGATTTGGAGCTCCGAATAGGGCAATCTGTTTATGCTTAGTTCAACCACACAATATGCTCAACCTTGAAATTCGCCAACCTGATCTCGTCAATAACATGTTGCTAATCTTCAGACTTGGTCGACCTTAACATTGAGTTAGCCCCAATGCTTTAGCTAACCTAAACAAAAGACAACCAATCTAGTTGAACCCAAGCGGCACAGCCGGAAGATCCGGAGAAAGCCCACGTTCACGCCACCCCCGCCGCCACCTCGGATTGATTTGTTTGGGCCGGGGGGGTGGGGGTGGGGCCGGGTTGGCTTCCCTGTGGCTCTTTAACCCCAGCCTCAAAGCGGTATCAAGACACATGTCGAACCAGCTCGAACCAAGAACTGCAGGGTTGGGATTTCAGGAGTTGGCTGGACCAGAAGCCAACAGGAGGGTGGGCTGTTTCCGACTGCATGGAAATCCAACAGCTAGGTCCTCCAGATTTGAGAGGTTAGAAGAAGTTGGTACCCGATTCTTTCTCTGTAGTCTATTTTAGTACGGGAACCTTCCCAACCATAAAAGGGGTGAAAAAGGGCACCTGGCTGGGGGACCTAGACAGACTCACTGCTGAGCTTCTTGGTCAGCAACAGTGATCGAGCTTCTTGGTTGCCACTAAAATGTTTCCAATTAAACAAGTACGAAGTCCAGAAACTCTACACTCACGAAACAACCTACAAGCTCTTCGGCATACTGGACGCATGTGGCGCATGTGCGCGCCGTCCCGAAGGTGGTTTTCTTGGAGTTCTGCTTTAGGCCAGGCTTTGAACAAGGCCAGGAAGGAACACAAGGATGACGGGAAAGAAACCCAGATTCTAAGGGTGAAAGTACATACCCCTTGTTCATACCGGTTCCTTTGCTTCCCTGGTTCCAACCCACTTTACAATCCGCCGACCCTCTGCCTCCCGTCCCAGCCTCCTGCAGAGGGGACAGGCGTGGGATGCAACTGGAAGTGATTGGAATCAATGATAGTCCCTGGAGGCCACGCCCGAAAGCACAAAAAGTGGATTCCCAGGACCCGGGACCGGGTCCGGGACCGGTCCCAGGACCGGTCCTAGGACCAGTCCTGGAACCGGTCCTGGGACTGGTCCTGGGACTGGTCCTGGGACCGCTTCGGATTACTTGCAGTCAGCCAAAACCGGTCCTGGAACCGGTCCTGGGACCGGTCCTGGGACCGGTCCTGCTGGTCCTGGATCGAGTCCTGGTGTGACCGCTGGTATCGGATCCCACTTCAAACCGCTGCAGAAGCCCGGTGCCACCTCAAACAGCTCCAGACACCTGGTTCCTCCAGTGTCGCTGTTTCCGGACAGGGTCCCTGCGACCGGCTGAGGGGCACCGACGGCCTTGTTTCTAGGACCAGCTCAACGCGACTTGGGCGCGAGCCGGCCCGTGCGGTCATTGACGGACGAGCTGCCGTCTGTCTGACTTTTCCGCTAATCCTTGTGGTAGTAGAGGATCCCTGGATCTAATCTGCAAGAGAGTCCAATACGTCGAGTCAAACCGCGCCAGACTCAGACCAGCCTGGACAGGGTCCCAAGTCCCGGTCCCTGCCGGCGGGTCCAGGGCCACTAGGGCCACTGTCGCCGGGGCAGTTTCGCCGGGCCAACTCGAAGTGACTTGGGCGCAAGCCGGCCCAAGCGGCAATTAACGGACTAGCTGCCATATTTCTGACTTTTCCGTTAATCCTTGTTTGTGGTCGTAGAAAATCTTATAAGTGGTCCCTGGGTTTGCGGACGTGTTTCAGGACCGGTCCTTGTGACTTTTCCCTTAATGCGCCGAGGGTCGGCGGCAGCAGGCGGGAGCCTGGTTAATATGTATATATATATATATATATGTACCCCTTTTGGGAAGAGGGGTATGAACATCAGCAGGCCTTCTGAGTTCATGTCCCAAGGGGGTATGTAAAAGGGGTATGTACCCCTGGACAGACCCACTACAACTGCCAGAAGTACAGGGACACCTTGAAATCCCATTTCGTCTGAGGATAAGTCACTGCCAAACAAGGCGGGGAGAGAACCCATGTAAAACGGAATGGGGCAAATCGGTTCACAAACCTGAGGTCGCGATTTGATTTGCCGAGAGCTACAATCACAAGAACATCAGCCATGTGGGTCTGACTTTTTCGAGGTGCCGCTTTTTGTGCTTTGAAGGGAAAGAGTCAAGCTACCATTTTGGGGGGGTCCTCTAACAAACACACACCCATTTACATTCACAACCATGTAGCTTTCATTCGGAACAGATTCCCATGGCTGGTGCGTCCAGTCTTGGCTCCCAAAACCTTCACGATCCCCAATCTGTTTCATACTGTGGATGGACGAAATCCATTTCGCACCACCTAAGAAACCCTGGAATGTTGATTCCCCTGTAAACACCAACAAACAATAGTGTCTCATGGTTGCTTAGGTGGTGCGAAATTGATTTCGTCCATCCACAGTATGAAGTCCATTGCAGGTGCCCCAGAATCCTTCTCAAACCCTTGGCCCAAGGTCTGGGAAAAGACTGGATTTTCTCTTTAATAACGGGTAAGAATATGCGAAACCACGCCTTCTTCTCGAGAGAGAAAGTACGAACCACAATTCCCACGAACTCCGAGAAGACCAAGCATGGACAAAATCCACAGACTTTTTGAGAGGTCCCTGTGTCGAGAACGCCTAAAACCCGCATCCAGAATCCCCCGTGCCGGACCCTCTTTGGGCCAGACTTCGGCCAGGCAGAACATGCTGCCTGATTTCGCCCGCGTGGAAACCACACACTCCTTGCGAAGCGCTTGTGCGGTGCAACAAGACTAGAATGGCGGTCTTCAGCTTGTTCATCATCTTCCATCTGAGGGCTGCTCCCTCCACTATCTTGTCGCGGGCATTCTTCAGCTTGCTCACGACTCTTGCAGCGCTTCGCTCAACATCTGTCAGTTTTCTTTTGCCGGAAAAGGCCTTCAGGTGAAAAAGCTCGAATGGGCGTAAAGAATTAACAAAATCGAAGGGGCTTACGCGGGAACTTGAAATCAAGTGCACAAAAATAATAAACAGTTTGTCCATGACACTCCTTATCTTTACATCTGTAGTACACCAAACACAACATTTGAGATTTATGTTGAATGTCTCGTCTATCCCCATTTTGGTGCTTTCCAAAAGGACAACAAAAAGAACGTATTTAGTTCGATTGCGGATCCTTGTTTTTCGAGAACTTTCTAGTTATGAGCCTCCGATGGACATGGGGGTTGGTCAATATTCCCTTCGGCCCCAGTTTCGACCATGGCGAACTTTGCCCTCCTGGAGGTGCTTTCCCTGGTCATCCAACGTATCACGGACGTTTGGATCAACCCCCACCATTTCTGTCCACCTGGGTCTTCCAACCGTTCTTGGGGCCCCCGCTGGGATCCGCGGCCTGAATCTCCAAGTGGATCTTCACCGCCTGAGAAGAAACGAAAAAAATCGATCGGATCTGCGCCGGAGAGAGGAGCCGACGCTTCCAGGCGAATCGAAGTCCGCAGGAGTCCGGGAAGGCTAACTGGCCATTCAAACCGAGCTCAATGCATCTTTGTTGTGTGGGACAACTGTGCTTTTTTGTTTTGTTTCGGGGTGTCAAATTCATAGCCACTTTCTATTTACCCGGCAAATGCATCCCTGAACTCCGGACACGAAGCTCAGGGATGCATCTCTAGGCATTTTGGCCAAGATATTCCAAGGTGTCCTTGGCCAGGAAGTCCATCCTGTGCAAACAGCTGCATGTCATCCAGCCCTCTAGGCCCCGAACTTCGGCCTTTGGCCCATGCCATGGCCCCTGGGGTTCAACTCACATTAAAAGAATGGCAAGGATCCAATTTGGATGACAATCCTTGGGCAAATCATGGCATGAGCCCCCATCGTTTCTTCATGGGCTCGGCTCCCCTGCGAAAGGTGAATAACTTTTTGTGGTTTAGTACGGAAAACCCATTGGCAAAAAGTTTTAAAGTCCTGTCCAAGCACAATGCACCCAAAGTGGCGGGAACTGAACTCCAGGGTACCCCGAGTTTTGGCGGCTGGCCATGTTCAGAACTTGGGCCTTGCAAGTGCACAGGGGCCTAACCCCAACTCCCGGCTGCGCGGGAAGCAACGTTTGAAAGCACGCCTTTAGCAGCCTCCCCAAACAAAGGGTAAAAGGGCACTACTGGGGGACCTAGTTAAACCAGATGTTGGTCCCTGAATTCTATCCTTGAGAAACATTTCAAGGAGGGGGCCTGTGTGCCCTTTTTGAGGACCCCCAAAATGGTGGGTGTCCTTTAGTTTCCTGTAAACCATCCAAAAAGGTTTTCCCCTAAAAAGGAAAACAATGAAACTTGAACCCCCAACCCCCTGAGCCCGACTTGGTGTTTGTTTTATTCGAGTCCCATTCGGATAGTTGGACTCAAAAGCCTTCCACTTTTCTGTGGTGGAAAACTCAAACCTTTAGAGGGATTTCATGAATCCCTAACGCCAGAAGTCCCCAAAAGTCTCAATAGAACCGCACGGAAATCATTTGCTGAGCTGCGGCATATGCAGGATCTGTGGGGAAACTCGCGCGGGACTTTCCCGGAGCCAAAAAGCATGCGAATTCCCAAACTGGAGATAAGGGAACTCCCAGCGTATCTCTTACTTTGGGACATGTTCAGAGCCCGAGATCTCTGCAGTTTGAGGGTCAACGGCATCGCGCGCTTTCGGACGAAAGGAGATTGCGTGCGAGCCACAATGGGCAAAGCGAAATCACCATGTGACGAGTCAAAACATGTCTGGTTACCTATAAGGGTAATTATCCACTGGGACATGTTCCAAAACCAGCTGGTCGCTTATGGTTGCTGGCAACTGTGCTCCGCTATATAGATGTGCAAACAAGCCGCGTACTCCACGATCGAGAACCTGCAGCGCCCACTCGGACCCAGCCGGTTCTTTCTCGAAATCCATCCAAAAGGGAGGGTTCCGGTCTTTGTTTGCTGTTTTGACGTTGGTATTTGTTGCTTGATTTTTCACACTGCGTAGGTAGTTGCTCAATATTTAACGAAAGTAAGACATCTCGTCAAGGCCCTTCACTATAAGCTCAGTAAGATCGGTTTGACCGGGTGAACTAGCTGTACTTTGTGCAAACACTCAACATACATGCGCAAAACAAACAAGGCATCAAACCAAAACAAAAACGTTTGACTCCCGACTATGTCCCTTTGAAACCAATTCGAAGATTTGCCTGATGCGAACTCAGATTCTGGGGTAGGACCAGGAAGGAGTTTGCACCGACAAGCATAATTGTGAGTCAACAGCCACAAAGCATCAAGTGCGGTTCCGCCTGAAAAACCCGTCTGGTGATTCGGTCAGCCATGGTTTCTCAAATGGCCAGCGTCATGAGCCAGTGTGTCATTGCCGAGCCTCCCCGAATCCAGGCATTTGGGAGTGGCTCGAAAATGGGATCAAGGTATCAACCAACCCCCAACCCGGCCTGGATCCTTTCGACACCCATTTCGATATGCGTTTTGCTGTGGCACCTTTTACACCCGCCTGAGCCAGCTGATCCTGTGAACACCTCAAGACTCCCTTCCCAAGCCACGGATTGAATACATGGGCGTTTGTCAGTATGAACCCTCTGGGTGGTTGCCTCTTGGTTTCCCTTTACAACCATCTTAAAGAGGGTCCACCATTTTTGAGAAACTGCCAGATGGCAGTGGGTCAAAATATGCACCCAAAATGGGAACCCTAGGAAATGGTAACATGGATTAAACCTGTGGTCCCATGGTGGTTGTTTTTTGACCCACAGCCAGATAAATATGTTAGAGGATCTGCCTTTCTTGGGACGGGTGAGAAAATCAGAGCCGCCATGACAGAGGGTTATAGGGGCCTTGGCTCATTGGCAGTCGCCAGGTGCTCTCTCAAACCGTTGCGTCCAAAGGAGGCGGACTTTGTGATGGTTCCTCCAGATTTGAGAGGTTAGAATAAGTTGGTACCCTATTTTTTTCTCTGCAGTCTATTTTAGCAGGGGAATCCTCCCCCAAAAAAAGGGAGAGAAAGGGCAGTACTGGGGGACCTAGTCTGGAAAGAGTCTCAAGCTCAACGCTCCAGACTTCCGGATCCGGCCGAGGCGGAAAGAAAAGCACCCGGATCCCAACCACTGCTGTTTGGACACTTGAGTCACAATCAAAACCCGGTATTGAAATGGTCTACCCAGAACCATGTAAAGAATTAAGCAGCGGCCGCAACTATTTCTGGCTGGGACTGCCCATTACAAACTTTCATCTACCCGGGTTTTGATTGTGGCTCACTTGGAATTTTGGACATCTTCGAAAAAGGCAGGCAAAGTTGGAGGTTGCGAGTTGGCACAACACCCCTCTTTTTGGTCGTTGATTACAACCAACTATGAATGCCCCAGACCCAGTGGTTTCATGGTGGAAAATCAACACACACTCGTTTTGGTTGTTAGAATAAGGGTGCCCTTCTTTCTGTAGTCTATTTTACTAGGGGAACCCTCCCAACCAAGAAAGGGTGAGAAAGGGCACCTAGCTGGGGGACCCAGTGTTGATAATTAAAAAAACGTTGAAACACGCCAAAGCTCAACCCACAGGTCTACTTCTCAACCGGTCGGATCGCAACCTTTGGAAGCTAGACAGTGGTGGAGCTCTTTGTCGCATCAGAACTTTAAACCTCAGAAACACGAGGTGTCACATCTAGGTCCTCCAGTAGAGAGGTTAGAAGGGTACCAACTTTTTCTGTAGTCTATTTTAGTAGGGGAACCCACCCCCCCAAAAAAAGGGTAAAAGGGCACCACTGGGGGACCCAGCAGCCATCCTAGGAATATCTTGAAAGCGGCCCACCATTCGGGTGTCATCTGATTCCGCTCACCTCAATGTCTCAAGTCCCAGCGGCAGAACCAAGCAGAAGTCGAAGCAGTTCCAAGCGGATTCGTTGTTCACCTCGGGAAAAACGCCAAAGAACCCAGGACAGTTCATGTGAAATCTGGGCAAACTGAAAGAAAGGGGTGCGCTTCTACGAAAGGAGCCGAACGTCGCAAACCCCCGAAACCTGACATGATGACTTGCCCAGACCCATGTCGTCTGTGGCTCAAGCGACTGGGTTTCCAAAGGACCTGTTGCATACCTGCCAGGATGGGTAACCAAGTTGGCAATCCAAGCAAAAGACTAAAGTTGGGAACACCAAGACGACAAATGGGTGTGGGTCAAAAATAAGTACCCAAAATGGGATCCTGCCAAATGGAAACCAAGACAAACACCTGCGGTCCCCCGCTGGTTTAATTTTGACTCATACCCAAATTTCCCCCAAACGTCAGGAAGCCATGCGCGAGAATCCGAAAATGATCTCATCTGATTCGGCCCAGCTGCGAAGAAGTAGAGACGGTGGACTACCAGCCTGTCGCCAGGAAGGCTCCCTTCCCTCTTTTTCAGCTTCCCCTCAGTTGGTGCCTTGGACGTTGGGGGCTATCTTCCCCTTTTCATTTCGAAAGGAACTGGGGTTCAGATGACGTTAGGGGCTACCTTCCCCATTTGCTTTCAAAAGGAATTGGGGTTCCAAACCACCAACTAAGGGGAAGCTGACTGTTTGCTCAAGCCCTGGAAAATTAAATACAAACATGTTTCCAACAGTGATTCCGTTTAACTCCAAAAGGGGAACATTAAAAAACAAAAAAAACAACTTGAGCGCTAGGCATATAGAATGGGGAAGGTTCCTTTTTGTGTGTGTTTTTGAATGCTTGTCAAGCCGAAACAGCTTGGAGATCCCCTACCTTTAGCAGGAGTGTGGGTCCCTCAGTTCCATTTGTCCAGTCGGTCGCCCATCCAGCGGAACTCCAAATGCCACGCCGCCAGTTCCGTGTGATGTCTTGAAAAGCATGACAATCTTCCAACTCCTTTGACCGAGCCCGCGCATGCGCGGTTCAAAGTTACGGCGACGATATGGCCTCCCATTTGGGCCCCATTTGGTCCATCGCCGACCTTCCAAAAACACAACAAACATCAAACAGGGGTCACTGGCTTTCCCTCCCAGAAGTTGCGATGCGAATGCTGACTTTTGGAGGTTCCGAAAAATCAAATGGCTCGGAAACCCCCTCAAAAGGGCACGTGTCATCAACTGACGGGGCCGATGTGTTGCTTGACGAACCAGTCCCTGCAATGGTGAGTCAAGCCACGTAGTCATACTCCCCGCATTGAACTTCCAGGTTGTGGCAAACGCCCCTGCTGCTCAAAAGTATGAACCCCTGTTTTGGTTTCAAAGTGAAGCCACAAGGAAGCAACCCATTTTAAGTGGTCACCTATGTTGAGAAACACCCATTCCCATGGCCCTCCCAGTGCAAGCAAGGCCGAAGCGCCGAACAGATCTACCCACGTTGCGTGCGGGCTCTAAACACGGGTATTTGGACTTCGCTTGGCTGCCCACTAGGGCATATCTGAGATACCTTCTGGGTCCTCCAGTGGAGAGGTTAGAATAAGGGTGCCCTTCTTTCTGAAGTCTATTTTAGTAGGGGAACCCTCCCCCAAAAAAGGGGAGAGAAAGGGCACCTGGCTGGGGGACCTAGCCTTGGACTAAGGGTAGCAAACCATTGGTAAGATTGCAACTCGTGCTTGGATCATGCTCCAAACGTCCATGCTAATATTGATTTCGTCTTGCGAGGAAAACTGCGGCCACAAGTTCCAGCCCCCCCCTTCCCAATACCTTTCCTTAGACGGATGGGTCACACGGTCACAAGCTCATGCTTCGGCAAACTCATGCTTTGATTTTGTTTCAGGGGACCGAAGATCGGTGGTCTTCCTTTTGGTCTCCCTTGAAACCCCACCCCCCAATGCGAGAGTCCCTGCCCCATCCTTTTTTAGGTGCCCTCTCCTTTTTGAGCAGAGGCGATCAGAACTTATAGTCAATCCCCCACGCATCATGCAGCTGGACCAATCAATACTTAGAAGGAAGGCCATGAAATCGAAATGCGTGATGCTCCAAAGCAAACGCTAAGTGGGTTGGTCGCTTTCTTGGCATTCTTGAAGGATGTGCCCGTTAGCAACCAAAATGTGCTACTGCGATTGAGGGTTCCATGTCAATCGGAAGCCCGGATTGAGAAAGAAATCCCTGGTTGATTGATAAAAGGTCTGAGGGAGGTGTTTCATTTCAGAAGGCAAGGGGTTTCTGACCCCTCACAGATCAACCAGGGTGTTCTCAATCTGGGCTTCCT